GTCGGTGGTCAAGGAAATATTTTGATAAAGACATATGTTGGTGGCCAGTGGGAGACCAGTATTTTGAAAGATGTCCTATGTGTACCTAAACTACATCGGAACCTGTTCTCAGAGGGAGCTGCTTCGCGTCAGGGATATACAATTGTGAAAGCAAATAGTGACGCTAAAATTTATAAAGAAAATGAATTATTCATGTGTGCGAATCTTCAAAATAATAACCTATATGAACTAAAAGTCAAAGCTCTTCAAAGTCACATGTGTCATGTAGTGCAAAAATTAGACCTTACAGTACATGAACGTTTAGGTCATCTGAATATTCAGGAAATTAAGAATATGTATAAAAACAACGTGATTGCCGGATTACAATTGGACCTGTCAGACAATGACAAGTTTGTGTGTGAGGGGTGTCTATACGGCAAACATGCTCGGAAACCTTTCAAACGTTCCAGCCGAGGGCAGTTACAGCCTGGTGATATTATCTATAGCGACGTGTGTGGACCTTTTAATGTGCTTTCTATGCAAGGTATGAAGTACTTTGTTATATTTAAGGATACAGCCACCAGCTACAGATATGTCTATTTTTTTAAACATAAAAGCGATGTACTAGATTGTTTCAAGAAGTTTAATGCAATAATTAAAAATAGGTTTTTGCATAGTGTGCGTATACTCCATACTGATAATGGAGGTGAGTTTAAGGAATATTTAGAAAGGGAAGGCATTTCTCACGAGTTAACTGCTTCATATACCCCAGAACAAAACGGCCGTGCTGAGCGAGAACTAAGAACCATTGTTGAAAGTGCTCGTGCCATGCTATATGCTCGTAATGTACCACTTAAGTTATGGGCAGAGGCAGTGAATTGCGCCGTGTATTTGCTCAATCGTACATCTTCGAGTCAAACACCAAACATCTCGCCTTTTGAATTGTGGAATAATGTGAAGCCAAGTCTAAACCATGTTAGGGTGTTTGGTTGTGAAGGTTTTGTTCATAAACCAGAACAATTGAGAACAAAGCTTGATAGTAAAACTCGTAAGATGATGTTAGTTGGATACGACAATAACAACTATAGAATGTTCGATCCTAATAAAAAGACTATTACAGTTTCTAGAAATGTTATTTTTGATGAACAAAGCACTCCTAAAATTGACAGAAATGGCTCAGATATGGATTGAAGAAGGAGAACAAGTAGAAGAACAAGCAGTGGGAGTACCCACACATAATAATGGCGATGATTCAAACGACCAGAGTGACGATAGTGTTTATGATGAGATAGACCAGGATGAGACGTATGAGCCACCTCAAGAAATTGACCTGAGTGGTATTGGCAGGTCAAACATTACGTTACGACCTAGAAACCGGTTTCATGAGGCAAACGTGATGGAATTCGATATCCCTAATACATTTGAGGAAGCTATTACACGTCCAGATTGTAAGTCCTGGTTGAAGGCTATAAATGAAGAAATAGAAGCTCATAATGAGAATAACACTTGGAGTCTAGTTGAGAAGAGAGATCAGAGAACGATAACATCAAAGTGGGTTTTCACTATTAAAAGAAACCAAGAAGGAGAAATAGAGAGGTACAAGGCCCGTCTCGTTGCCCGTGTTTTTTCACAAGTAAACGGTATAGACTACAGTGAAACGTTTTCTCCTACTACTAGATATGAATCGATTAGAATCTTATTAAGTATTGCTGCACAATATCAATGGAAAATAAGACAGCTTGATGTTAAGACAGCATTCTTATATGGAGATGTGGAAGAGGACATCTATATGGAGATGCCAGAAGGAGTAAAAGCACCTCTGAATAAAATTTGCAAACTCAATAGATCTCTCTATGGACTGAAACAGGCCTCAAGGTGTTGGAATAAGAAATTTACAGATTTTTTGTTAAACTTTGGTTTAAAGCAATCCCAAGCTGACAGCTGTGTTTTTACATGTACTTTTGATGACACTAAAGCATTCTTAATTTTGTATGTTGATGACACTTTAGTTATGTCAGAATCCAATTCTGTTTTAGTTGAAATAATCAATTATTTACAGGAGAGTTTCAAAGTAAAAGAATTGACTTTAAATAGATTCGTGGGATTGGAAATTTTAAAAGGAGAAGATTGTATATGTATAACTCAAAGAAGTTATATAGAACAGTTAATTAATAAATTTAATATGAAAGATGCTAACCCTTGTAATACACCTGTTGATGTAAATGTACCAATAGTTAAAGATATTGATTGTAAAGAGACTAATTTTCCTTATAGGGAAGCAATAGGCTCATTATTGTTTTTGGTAACAGCTAGTAGGCCAGATATGTCATATGGTGTAAATATGTTGAGTAGGTATGTCAACAATCCTAGTTCTCAACATGTAGCTCAAGTTAAGAGGATGTTTAGATATCTCTTGAAAACTAAAAATGTATGTATTAAGTATCAAGGTGAAAATTTGATTGGGTATTCAGACTCAGACTATGCTGGGGATATTGACACAAGAAAGTCAACTTCAGGTTATGTTTTTATGTTAAATGGTGGTCCCATCTCATGGGCTAGTCAAAAACAATCTTGTGTCGCCCTATCAACAACTGGGGCTGAATTTGTGGCTGCATGTGAGGCAGCTAAAAATTTTTTATGGTTAAGACAGTTTTTCAATGATATAGGTGTAAATCAGAATTGTATAAATTTGTGTATGGATAATCAGAGTGCCATAAAATTAATTAACAACCCTGTTTTTCATGAAAAGACTAAACATATTGATGTTAAATTTAATTTCATTAGAGAAAAGGTGAAAGGAAAAATTGTTAGCTATTAAGTTTGTACCGAGTTCAGAGCAGCTAGCCGATATTTTGACAAAAGCACTGCCTGTGTTGAAGTTTGTTAATATCAGGGATCAAATACTTTCAGTTTTGTCATGTCGCTAAATGAAATAGAAGTAAAAAATAATAATAATAGAACAAAATGAAAGTGTTTTGCTGTATAAGCTATATCAAACTTAGTGGGAGTGTTGAAAAAGAAGTTTGATAATAGCATAGGCCATAGTGAATTTTAGAATAATGATTTTTGAAGTGTTTCATTCTTCCCGTGGTGGCGTTGTATTCGTTTTCGAAATGTGTAATCTGAATGTAATTTCTTGCTGTATTTAGATCAAAATAAATCCAGAGTTTATTGAGAGAATTCTTATTTATTTTGTGTAATCCGAATAAGAACGATACAACCGGACTATCGTTGAGAAAGCTAAGTGTCTACTGTTCGATGCAGGTCTCGCGAAAAGTTTTTGGGCAGAGGCGGCACACACTGCAGTGTATTTACAGAACAGGACTGTGACCGCATCATTAAATTATAAAACACCTTTAGAGAGATATGGACGGGCAGAAAGCCTGATGTAAGTCATTTACGTGTTTTTGGTAGTACACTCATGGTACATGTGCCAAAACAAAAGAGTGTTAGAGTGGGACAAAAATCAGAAAAATTTATCGTTGTCGGCTATTCCAATGATGTCAAAGGGTACAGGATTTACAACCCAAAGTCTAATATCATCACTACTAGTCGAGATGTTATAGTATTGGAGAAGATAAAGACAGAAAATGTTCTGGAAGTACAGGAAAGTTGTTCAGATGAAGTGAATTTGGTTCCAGTGTTAGAAAAAGATTTGATACTTTCGGAAGATTCACTTGAACAATCAGAGAGCTTGAACACAGATGACAGCGGCGAACTGTATGTACCTTGTAAAGATGATACATTGGATAGCTCTGAATCTGGTACCATAGACAGTGAACACTCCATTATACTCAACAATGCCAACATAACGAGTGGTCCTCGACGTAGGCAACAGCCAGACAGATATGGATCTGTAGGTACTTGTATAGAAGATGACAACATATTCACGGGTGAGTTATCATTGTAAGAAGCTTTGGAAGGTCCTGAGAAAGCACAGTGGTTAGCGGCAGTGCTAGATGAGTTACAGTCGTTTGAGAAAAATAGTGCATGGGAAATCGTAGACGTACCAATAAATGGTACTATAGTGCAGTGCAAGTGGGTTCTGCGGAAAAAGTACGATAGTGAAAACAAAGTGTATTACCGTGCTCGTCTAGTCGCAAAGGGCTTCATCCAAAAATATGGTTAAAATATATAGAAACATTTTCGCCTGTAGTGAGACACACAACTCTAAGACTATTATTTGCATTGTCTGTAAAGTTAGGTTTGGATGTTAACCATTTAAATATAAAGACTGCGTTCTTGAATGGTGATTTAGAGGAAACCATTTACATGCAGATGCCGGATTGTTATAATAGTAGTAGTTCAGTTTGTAAAGTATTGAAACTTAAAAAGGCTATTTATGGACTTAAGCAGGCCTCTAGAGCATTGAATAAAAAGGTGGATAATTGTTTGATGAGTAATGGTTACAAAAGGTCAAAAGTTGAGCCATGTATGTACATAAAGGATATTAACAAATGTAAGACCATTGTAACAGTATATGTCGACGATTTCTTTATATTTTCCAATGATAAAATTAAAACCTAAGAACTTTAAACAGATGTTATCTAATAAGTTTAGCATTAAGGACTTAGGTGAAGTTAACCCTTTTTAAGGTGGCGGCAACATAGTTGCCACCACGTATTTAATCGATTTTCTGGCAACTTTATAAATTGTAGTAGAATTTTATTATCTCTATCGAAAACTGCAGAGTATAATGTCAATTTCAAACAGCTTTTTACATTGTCAAACGTCATGACTGTCATTTGAACGTGACGTGAGTTAGAAAGTTGGCGGTTTGTCAGAATATTTGTTCAAATCTAGTTCTAACTCGAATTTGTGCTTCTGTTTCGGTAAGTTTTATTTGTTATTTCAATGTATTGGGGCAATAACGATAACAAAAAGCTATATTTTTCAGGTTTGGGTTGTGTGCTTGTAAAAAAATAGGATTGGTTTAGGTGGCAATATAATTGCCACTGCCTTATGTGTGTGTGGTGCATGGCTTGGTGTTGGAGTTGTTGTCTTTTCTTTTATAGGTAAAAATGCCGCGATTTTTGAACGATGACGCAATCGAGGAAGAACTGCCGTGTTTATTTGGTCTTCCTGATGATCCTGAGGTTTCCGAAGACGAATGTGAACCTGAACCAGAGAATTTTACCGACTTAGATGTCAGTAATATTTTGAATGATTTTGATATGGGCACTGCTGTCCTTTCTTGTTCAGAAGTTGGAGAGGTGCCGCATCAGCTTGAAGAGTCAAGTTCATCAAATAACTTATTTACTGAGCACCTTTCAACAAGCTTTGCTGAAGTTCAACCATCAACATCTGGTCTTCATTTGGATAGTCGACGTTGTCGTATCAGCGAATCTTCGTCCCCAGAAGTTCCTCTCGTTTGTGTTCCTCTTCGTTCCCAGTGACGTAGCTCCACCACCAACAACTTCAGTATCAAATACAGCTATTTTGTCTGAGACAGATGAGTCAGATACTGAAGAAAACCAATGGAAGAAGGTTCTTTACCCTCAAAATCCCGATATAGACTACTTTGATAGCATACGCCTAGAAAACAAGCAATTCATGCCAATTAGGACCATACCTGTTATTTATTGTACTCAATTTTTCGACCACAACTTAGTAGATCTCATTGTACAACAAACTAATATTTATGCAGAGCAAAAACGAAGCCGTGGCTGGACGCCTGTTGACACTTCTGAGGTAAAGGCATTAATTACATATACCTAAAATATTTAAAATGCACATCGCGACCTAGTAGCAGCGGTTACACGCGCTGCACCGTCAGCACCCCGACCGAAACTCACTTTTGTTCAAACATCGAACTTGAGCATACATATTTTTAGCTTGTAATTTTTTATTAGAATTAAAATAAGTTCAAATAGATTTCGTTTCTTTTTGCTCCTTCAGCTGTAGCTTACGTAATTGGCGCAGTCGGTAGGATACTCGAAGCAGTGCGAGGCGCGAAATAAAAGGACTCTAATATCGAATCCTGTGGCCCCACATAGCCGCTGTTTGAGCTTTCAAGCCTTCATCGAGTATTCTGCAATCTACCAGAGCTACGGCCAGACAACGAAGGGTATCCAGACATCGATACGCAGAAGAAAAATGAAATTGTGAGTTACACAAAATTATTTCTTGTGTTGCCTCCTTCTATCCAGTAACCCTTAATTATAAGTCTTTATAAGTCAAGTACTCTGACTTCAAAATTTTTCATCCCAGTAGTCGGAGACCCAGCGGGTCTGCATTTCGGCAGTCTCGTCGGCAGGGAGAAAGAGATAGAAATAGGAATTTAGTTATAGGAGATTCGGATTATTTTCGGATTCAACTAGTACAATGGGCCACGATCCGGATACTATTTTTAAGGCACTTCGCCCGGTGCCTGATTTTGATGGTAACCCTAATGTGCTCATTTCGCGTTCATTCAAATATGCGACCAAATAGTGACCTCGTATATGAGCACAGAGGCTGATAATGCCCTTTACAACTTATGCTTATTGAACGGGATATTAAATAAAATAACCGGACCAGCAGCTAATATCATAAACTCTAATGGCGTCCCCGATAACTGGTTAGACATAAGGAACGCTTTAATAAATAATTTCGCAGATCAGAGGGACGAAACCGCCCTCTATAACGACCTCTATTTGACCACGCAAGGCCAGAGAACTCCACAAGAGTTTTATGACCATTGCCAAACCTTATTTAGCACAATAATGACCTATGTTAGCCTTCATGATAACAAACCGACCACTGTAGAAGCTAAACATAACCTATACAGAAAATCTACTATGCAAGCATTAGGTGCATGAGACCACCCGTATTAGGTGCATGAGACCACCCGTATTAGGTGCATAAGACCACCCACAATAGCAAAAGGCTCTAGAATATGTGCAGGAAGAGATGAATACAATGTATCTCCAACAGAGAAACGAAACATTTTATAAACCACATCAAGGCCCTAACACTGTTCAATCCGTACCTGCGCACATTCCAAAACCTTTATATACGACCACCCCAACAGCATTTTGGCCGATGCCTACTTTGCAACGGCCACTACCGACTACACCGCAACCATTTAGGTTCACGCCTCCACCTCATCAGAGCTTCAGAGGTCACCCAGCACAGCAACAACCACAGGTACGTATGCCCTCACATACGCAGCGGATGCTAAGTGCCAGACCTCCTAACTATAATCCCCAAAGCAACGTGTTCCGCCTTCCACCACGAAACCAGCCGGTACAGTATAATCCACAGTATCCCAGACCTACCTAAGTACCTAAGGCGTTACCACCCTGAGTACTTAGAGGACATGACTGGCGTACACAAGGTAACCCGCCCCCGACGAATTACCTCAAATCTCGTGAGATGAATATGAATGAATGTTAGGACTTAAACTACTACCCATACTATGACAATGAATACTACCACAATTACTACGGACCCTACGATTATAGCGAGCACGTTAATTATGACTATACAGAACCCACTTGTTCTTATAATGACCAGACAGTAGATACGCCCGACAGTTCTAAAGGAAATACAAACGAGTGTAACCCGGTAGATAACGATCAGGATTTTCAGAAGGGCCGCTGTTGCGACTGCGATTTAACTAAACGCACTACAATGGGCAACAGCGCGGCGTGCGGGGGGACTACCCGGACGTGTGCGACGAGTGGGGGACCGAGCCGGGAGGAGCAGAGGATATAAAACAGCCGTTGCTCGCCTTGGGACATCACCGTGGACGGTCCGACTTCAACCTCACACTACATATCGTGTAAAGACCTGGCGATTAAAATACCAGTTATACAGTCCACTGCCATTTTATTTACGTCCCCTGGACCCAGCCGCTCATCAAAAAAGTTAACATAGAAATAAATTTACAGACTCCGAGGCAACTACCTTACATTCAAATAAATAATCCACCATTGAAATTTTTAATTGACACCGGTGCTAACCAGTCTTTTATAAGCCCACAGGCTGTTCAAAGGTACTTTTGCAACATCCCACTAAATTAAGACCCCTTTGAAATCACTAACGTTTATGCCACCACTAGAGATAACTATTCGATTACATTGCAAGGATTCCCTGAATTTAATGACAACGAGAAAGTAAGACTATTCATATACAAGTTTCATGATAACTTCGACGGACTCATTGGACTGGACCTGTTAACTAAATGGGAAGCGAAAATTGATTTAAAATACCAAACACTAACCACTCGATCCGCAACCAACCCGATTCAGATGTATAACTCCCGAAATATCAATTTATATGAGGATATTATCCCCGCGCAGAGCTCTAAATTAATCCGTGTGCCTATTAACGCTCCGGATAGCGACGTTTACATTCCTGAACAAATCATTTGTAATTGCATAATATTCGATTGTGTTACGAAGGTCGTATGCAGTCGGGGCATAGTAGAAATAATTAATCCGACAGAGAACGACATTATAATATCATTAGATCAAGCCTGTAATGCCGAGGTATTCAAGATTAATTGTTCTCATATTCAACCATTCCAGAAGAATTAGCCAACTTATCAGCTCTCTGTTCTAACTATTCAGATGTTTTCTATATTGACAATGAACCACTTACTTTCACAAACAAAGTAAAGCATATTATTAATACAACTGATGAAACCCCAATCTACACCAAGAGTTATCGGTACCCTTTCGCGCATAGACAAGAGGTCAAGGACCAGATAACTAAAATGCTTTCACAAGGTATCATTAGACCTTCCGAATCTGCATGGAGTTCACCTATTTGGATAGTACCAAAAAAGGTAGACGCTTCAGGAAAACAAAAGTGGCGCCTTGTAGGTGATTTTCGGAAGTTAAACGACAAAACCATCAGTGACAAATACCCATTTCCCAACATAACAGATGTTTTAGACAAATTAGGCAAATGTCAGTACTTTGCGGCACTTGATCTTGCTAGCGGATTTTGGCAGGTAGAAATGGACCCAAAGGACATTCATAAGACGGCTTTCACAGTAGAACATGGGCACTTTGAATTCCTGAGAATGCCCATGGGACTTAAAAACGCACCATTCACCTTTCAAAGGATAATGGACAATTTATTAAGAGGTCTACAAAACGAGGTATGCCTGGTGTACCTTGATTGTAGCGTGTTAATTTTTGATTAACCGCTTCATCATACTTTCTTGGTAGAAGCAGATTAGAATTTGATAGTAGTGAGACCTTGCGACTGGATGGCAACACCACAGAGGACTGGGCAACACTGAAAAGGGCGGCTGGGAGCAGGTCGCTTGCCTCTTATATTTTTTTTGTCTTCATTTTTACCTTTTGAAGTTTACTTTACACAATTGTTGCTGAAATGGTTCTTTACACCATTGTTTGTTGAATGGAGACATCCTGGTGAGTATTTACAGTTGTAGTTGAACTCGTACCCTGTGGAAAACGGGTTGGACAAAATGGCGTACATAGTATTTGTGACGAATCATAATTTTTGTTAATTCTTTTCAGATCTGCCGTTGGGCCTCTAGGAGTGGATGGGTGTTTTGTATGTTGTGTCGGAAGACACTTTTGTTCGTTTTCTTGTATAAACCGGGTATGTAATTGAACTTTAATACTCAATCTGAGGTTGATCGCGAGGGCGGTTCGGTTTCAACAATTGAATGGTAATATTGTTTTTTTTTTTTTATTTGCTTTTAGAATGACTCCGGTCGTTATGCAGGGCCCAAGATATTGAGGGACTAGAATCTTGCATCAGAAAATAGTGGAAGACGGTGTGCCAATAGGCCCACATATGAACACCTTTGAGGAGCGCTGATGAGGAAGGGGCACGCTTCCCAGGTCAACTTCGTAATTACACTCATGAAGTAATTTCACAGGTGAAGCCTTTCCGTGCTTTCTTTTCACACAAAATCAAATTAGATTCAATTTTTTTATAAACAAGTTTGACTGTCTATGTTCTGCAAAAATGGTGCAGTGTTATAACATAGGTATGGTCAATCTAATAACAGCATAATATTCAGCGTCTGAGGCAGATGTCAGCACTTCAGATCACCTCCTTGTCTTTATAAATTTAAGTATGTGAAAGCAGCTGTTGCTTTAGTACAGTAAGATTGTTATGAGTTCTATGACCATTCTCATTTGATTTTTTTTGTTCTTTTACATACATTTGGTTGAGTGTTAGCAATTTAGTACACTATGGTATACAAAGTAGATTGAAACTCAAGAACTCTTATAACAACTAACTTTGAGAATTATACCAACCTCAAAACAATTTAAAAGAGTTTTCATTGTTCACTCATTCTAGACCAGCGTGCCATGGTCTTAAAAGATTAGGCACGTGGCGCCCTTTTGTATCTTAAGCAGCCTGTTGAGAGCCTCCAGAACCCACAAGCTAGTCGAGGCACTCCACCTAAGTCATATACACTTTACCGACGACTAAAGATTTTTTGTTACATGATGATATCATTGTCTTCAGTACTAGCCTACAAGAGCATATTATTAATCTTGAAAAAGTCTTTCAGAAACTCCGAGAGTAAAAAAGATTTCCAAATCCTCCCTCGAGAGTGATATTGTAAATTCCATCAAAGAGTATGTCAACCCCAAAGTTAAAACCGCCCTGTTGATAACACCCCCATTAGCCATGTACAAAATTATACCTATTATACAAGAAAATTTTAAAAGCTCTGCAATGAAGCTCGTCCTAACTAAAGTAGAATTAGAAAATATAAAAGAATATTTGAAACAACAGGAAATAATTAAACATGATCACGAAGGGAAGACTAACCATAGAGGAATAAATGAATGTTATCTAGCATTGTCCCGGCAGTACTACTGGCCGAGAATGAAAGATCACATCACTAAATTCATTAACGAATGCAGTATATGCGGGCAAAGCAAATACGATAGAAACCCGATCAAACCTCAGTTAAATCTTGTACCACCTAAACCTCTGGAAATCGTTCACGCTGATTTGATTCACTATACAGACTGAAAAATACATAACTTTCGTAGATGTTTTTACGAAATACGGACAGGCTTATCCCTTAAGCGTAATACACACAAAGAGCGGGCGCGGGTCGGGCGCGGATCGGGACGGGAGTACTACGGGTCTAGTTCTTTGTATTTATATGAAAGACATCACACTGGAAACGTGTGCGGGTCGGCCGCGGGGCGGGTCGTGCGCGGGAGCGGCGCCCGCCGCCCGCCACTACAGACAGCGCGCGGGTAAGCGGGTGGGGAGCGGGCATAACGTCATTCTTTTCTTCGTAATACACGTACTCTACGTAAGGCACTCACACTGGCGCGTGTACGGGTCATGCGCTGCGCGTGTCGACAGTTTGTTTTGTGAATATTTACAAAAAATAGTTCGATTTTGCTATGGATCTCAATGAAAAAATTATTGAATGTGTTCGTAAACATAGTTGTTTGTACGAACCAAGTGATAAAAACTACAAAAACGCTGTTTTAAAAGCTAGGCTATGGCAGCAGATTGCAGAACAATTAAATGAAACAAGTAAGTATTTTATTTTTATTTAATTATTAGTATTAAAATAGTTAACAATTTTTTCTCTAATTTGGAAAGATTCACTTGTTGACCGTCTTTGTGGGGTTTATCGATGCTAATCCTCTTGTAGTAACCGACGTCGCCGCCATGTTTTGTTGGTTGCAGTTTCTCCCATATGGCTTTACATACTTCTTTTACTACATTCGAAATAGTACTGGTTCCGAGTCGATAAGAGAATCCTATACTTTGATACGAATCACCAGTCGTTAGGTACCTGAAATAAAAATAAACTAATTTATTTTTCTAATTTGCAGGTGATACAATAAAGTAGAAGTGGAAAAGTATGAGGGATGGATACATTAAAAAGCAATTAAAAGGAACAACAGGGAGTGAAAGAAAATCTATTAGCTTCATGTGGTCTGCGCAACTATCGTTTTTGGATAGTGGTATTAACCCCAGAGGAACTGCATCTAACGTTTCTGGAGACCACCCAACCGAAACCTCAGAAAATTCGGATATGCCAGCGACAGCGACGTTCGTCGAGCACGAATCCTTAGAATCTTCGAATCCAATATCGACTTTTCGACTATCATCGAACGAACCAATTGAAACACCCCGCCGGGTCAAAAAAAAGACTAGAGAGCCAGATGAGCCAGATGTCGACAACATGATTAAAAGCTACTTGGAAAAGAAAAAAACGAGGCACGACGATGTCGACTATTTATTTTTAAGCTACGCACAAACGTTCAAAAAATTATCGCAGCGAAAACAAGCTATGCTAAAAGTAGATTTAACTAAATTATATTGAATATGTAAACCAATCACCAGCTTATTCTGTGATGTCATTAATACCAGACAATACAAATTCAGAAGATTCATTTATTCACACAAATGTAGAACAGATAAGTAATATGCCACAAGACTTATCGAATGCAATAGTTTGTGATCTCACGAATGTTTACTCAATTCATTCAGATAATGCACAATGTACGAGTACAAATATTCGCTCAGAAGATATGTCACTGAAAGATGTGCTTTCAACTTCATTTAATTCTACAAATATCTAAATTAGAAATATAACAACCATCGTTTGCCTTATTTCTAAAAAAAACGCCTATTGAGGCTATTGATACTATTCTTATGATTAATTAAAAAAATAATAAATAAAAGCTTGCTTACTTTAAACAAACTGCGAGTTTTTCTCTTGTAGATATAGCTGGCCTCCAATTTGTATCGAGTTTAAATATTCTTGTTCTCAGTTTATCATGTAACTCCTCAAAACTCGCCCTTGACATGTGAAAATATTTGTAGAAGCGATCCTCGTTTCTAATTCTCTACACAGGCGATGATATTCTCCATATTGTAGTCATTTTTTATTAATTTCATGAACCCAGATTCTTTTTCGTTTCTGAGCTCTTCTTTTCAAAATAAGTAGAAATAATACCTCTTCGTCCGTGTCCGAATCCCCCGACATTATCAATCACACTGCATGTGTTGCCTGCTGAATCCGCTGTTGCTGGCATGGCATGCCCGCGGCCGACCCGCCTACGGCCCACGTCCGCGTTGTGTGTGAAGGCGACGAACAGCGCGTGTCACGCGAGAAACACGACTCCCGCCCGCACCCGCTCTGTGTGTGTATTGCGCTTAAAAGTATGGCATATTGTACAGGCCTTTCTTACATTTTGCACTCACCATGGGCTCCCCCTAACAATTGTAACAGACAACGGGACTGAATTTACGAACCAAATCTTTGCGGAATTCATAAAGCTTCATAAAATCATACATCATAAGACCCAACCCCACTCGCCAAACGATAACGGTAATATCGAGAGATTCCACTCAACCATACTTGAGCATCTTAGAATACTGAAGTTACAACAGAAAAATGAATCAATAGTAAATCTCATGCCTTATGCTATCATCGCGTACAATAGCTCCATCTATAGCCTCACTAGATGTCGACCCTACGACTTACTGAAAGGACACTTCCACCCCAGAGACCCGACAGACATCGATGTGACACAACACTTATTACAGACGTATATGCAGACACACCGTGACCAGATGAAATTAGTTTATGACATAGTTAATAATATAGCCCTCGACAACCGGACAACCGGACAGACGAACAACCATAATAAGACCAGAGAACCTGAAATCGAATACCAACCTCGGCAGCAGGTATTTATTAGGAACCCGCTAGAAAATCGCTCCCCGTTACACGCAAGATAAAGTCCTCGCAGATTTACCAATCCATATCTACACGTCTAAAAAACGCGGCCCCGTAGCAAAACACGCCTGAAACGACCAACCAAAAATGTAAAATTGTTACAGGGTGACCCTACTACTGATGACGACACTGAAACTGGCGCTAACACAGGAGATACGACTTGATAACTTAGACAATGGACCAGGACTTTTACCGTTTAAACTCGGACCTGCAAGAGTGACAACCCATCACCATACCTTCTTACAGTACATTGACTTGGACAGAATTGAACATGAAATTAACGAACTAAGAGGACAACTACTAAGTTTTGAACATAGACTCTTTAGCACTACTTACACGGTATATGAGCCCCAAATTCGCTACCTAATGAATAAAACGAATCATATATTAGAACACTTGCAGACGTTAGAACCTAGCAGGACAAAAAGAGGTTTTATTGACGGACTAGGATCACTAGTTAAAAGTGAAACAGGAAATTTAGATTATCAGGACGCTATAAGATATAATAAAGCACTTGAAGTTTTAGAAAATAACCAAAATAAAATTAATTCAGAACTTAGTAACCGCGCTAGCTTGAATAAGGAATGGATGAAAGAACAGAGCAGTGTGTTAGAAAGACTAGTTCAAAATCAAATAGAAATTAACAATACCTTACAATCCTGGTCTGAAAAAGATAGTTATAGAGAGAATAGTTTTCACAGATACGGTAGATTCACCCAAACCTTAATAATCATTACCGAAAACGCTAATGGCGTATTAAATGGATTAATTAATATAGAGAATAAGTTAGCTTTTACTCGTACAACCACGACTCATCATTCGATGATTAGTCTTAAAGTACTTAGGTTAATGTTAAGCAAGCTTAGGTTAGTTTACGGCCCGGAACAAGTAGTGGACTTAGAATTAAGGGACTATTATGCCTTGATAAAATCCGGTTTATACTTCGTTAATAAACAGATAGTAATATTTTTTAAATTCCCTATAGTTTCAAAGAGTACTTATGACTTGTATAGATTATCCTTAGCTCCCAATAGATCTCACCGAGTAATTATCCCACCTTCTCCTTTCCTAGCAATTAATAGAAAAGAATTTGTGTACATAGAGGCTAAATGCCCGAAGTACCTTCACCTGTCCCTTTGTGACGAGACTTCCCACAGGAGGATACGCACTACGTCAGACTGCATTCAACAGATCATCTTGAGTCAAACTATCGAAGAAACCTGCATATTTTCGACGGTCCATTTACTAAAAGAAACTGTAGAGCAACTGGATGACCGCAGCTACATCATATCGTTCCCAAAAGCAGCAAAGGTTCGACTCAGCTGTGGCACAGGAGCATACAATGTACTGAATGGTAGCTTTCTCGTTACGCTACCCCTGCACTGCTCTCTGCAATCACCTGAATTCACTATTTTAAACGCAGATGATGCTATACAAGGGCAGCCACTGAAAATCATGAAGATAGAACAGCGTATAAACACCGCAATACAAGGGACTCCACCCTTAAATCTTACATCTGTAGACCTGAAAGCACTCCATAGTATCCAAGAAAAGGCATCGCTCCGGACCCCTCTACAGATGGACTCATTAGATAAATCTTATTATTATCATACAACGCTACCCTTTTATGTTGTACTATCCGGCGTAATTATATTCGTCGTTATATCTCTAATCCGTCGTTACAAGCTACGCAGATCAGTAAACATTGAAGAAGCAATAGATTCTAACGAAGAAAAGCACACAGAGGATGCCGGAGATCATACCCTTACGACACCATCTCAGACAACCATTTTCTCGCACAAAATCGGAAAATAGTTGCCAGACTGAGGGGGGAGGAATTACATATACCTAAAATATGTAAAATATATTTAAAATGCACATCGCGACCTAGTAGCAGCGGTTACACGCGCTGCACCGTCAGCAACTTGTCCCAGTACGTGTGAATACACCGTCAGCACCCCGACCATTGGCGCCAGCGCGACGGCGACACGACACCACCGATGAACGAAGCCCCGCTTTACTGGAAACTCACTTTTGTTCAAACATCGAACTTGAGCATACATATTTTTAGATTGTAATTTTTTATTAGAATTTAAATAAGTTTATATAGATTTCGTTTCTTTTTGCTCCTTCGGCTATAGCTTACGTAATTCATTTCTAGGCATTATTATTTTGATGGGTCTCCACTCACTGCCAACAATAGATCTATATTGGTCCAGTGATCCATTTTTTCGTGTTGCTGAGATAGCATCCGTTATGACTTGCAAAATATTTAAGAAGGTACTAGAAAATCTACATCTAAATGATAATTCGAAAATGCCACCCAGAGGAGCACCGGATTACGACAAATTGTTCAAAGTTCGCTCGCTTCTTGAGATGCTCAACAAACTTTTAAACTTTCGCGTTCCATGATAATTAATATTATTTAACGGGAATTAACGCGATCTCTTATTTAGGGTATTACATACCTCTGGTTTGCCTGACGTTTCGACCAGGTTGCACCGGCCGTGGTCACAGGCTGACCACCGTTAATTCCCGTTAAATAATATTAATGCTCAACAAAGCTTGTCAAAGTGCTGCAAAAACCACAACTTCCCAATCTATAGATGAGTCGATGATACAATTCAAAAGCATCTCATCACTAAAACAGTACATGCCACTAAAACCTATAAAAAGAGGGTATAAAGTGTGGACTAGAGCTGACAGCGAGACTGGCTATATTTTTGAGTTCCAAATTTACACAGGGAAACGTGATGATCAATCAACTGATTTCGGATTAGGAGCAAATTTTATCAAATTTCTTACACAAAAGCTAATAGATGAGGGGTTCCGTGGACATGTGACTTTCGATAATTTTTTCGCATCCTATGAAATAATGCAATACCTATTCGATAATGGTATATACGCCACATCTACAGTCAACAGCAACAGATCAGACCTACCACTTACAATAAAAACGGCAAAAAATAAGAATTTACCAAGAAATAAAAAAATATCTTTGGCAAGAGGCGATTTTAGATGGCGCACCAAAAATAATGTAGCATTTGTAATGTGGCAAGTCACAAAAATTGTTTCACTCCTGACCACTGCCTTTCATCCAAAAATAAATTAAACATTCTGTGACCGAACTCATAAAGACGGTTCGAAAAAGGCTTTTCAATGTCCATCAACTATATTACAGTATACAGAGCGCATGGGTGGAGTAGATCGGTTTGATCAGAGGCGGAGCACCTATGAAGTTGGCAGGTGGAGCAAGAGGTGGTGGCTTCGAATTTTCTATTTTTGTGTAGACTTGGCCATCACAAATTCATTTTTGCTATACACTAGCAACAAGAGGGTGCACAATCCACTTTCACAACTGCATTTTAGGTTGTGTCTGACCCGTGGTCTCATCAACAATTATTCGTCTCGGAAGAGAAGCCTCGACAGCCAGCCACAGTATGCTATGAAACGGCCAAAACTCTCTACCAATAGGCAAAAGGTGGTGGGAGTGACGGATGAAATTCGTTTGGCTAACGTGGGTACTCATAAACACGAACAATTGGGATCATGGCGACGTTGTCGTATGTGTAGCACTA